ATTTTTAGTTGAAGTCAGATCCTCCTATAGTGCCAGCTTATTACCTTGGTTGCAAACTTCTCTTAGAATTTCGACATCCTCAGAGAAAAACAGTAAATGGGGCGACAATTGATAAGGAATGTCATTCATGCGAATCAAGGAAAAAAGAGGTTCAAATACTGCACCATGAGGGACCTCACAAGGTTATTCTGTAGCCTGAGAAAGTGAAGTTTACCCCGGCCGTACGAAGTCAACAATTTAGATATGCAGTAAGCCAATCAACCAATTATTACTTTTTACCTAAACATTTCTGCTTACTGCTAAGACATGTATGATTGACCCCATCAAAATCTTTTTATGAATCAAGGTATATGACACCAACCTTCACCTTGAGGTCGATGAAGATGGTCTGTCTATACACCTCGGTCAACAGATTGGCTATATAATAGCGACTCTTTCTGAAACCACCTTACGGGGTTGAAAACAAACGTATGGATAGCAGTAATCATGTTTACCACTATATTCTCAGTTAGTTTGATATTTTACAAGGTACATTAATCATAAAATTATAAGGAATAACACTTCTCACATATGGATGTAAATAATATTAGCAAGATTTGTATTGTCAATATGACCGTTGGCGCGCTTTTTGGATGTTGTGTCGCGACGTGCAACTGATGGTTGAGAATAAGTCTACGTACATTTGAGAGATTCTAGGAACCGAAACCTTATATCCCTCTGAAACAGCTGAAGCATTAGTTGTTACGTCCAAGTTTTCACTCCTTCCCGTTATTGAAGTAGGGTACATCGATCTATTTGCAATTTACCAATCCAAATTAACAATAGAACCAAACTCCGATTCAGGTACCAAAGTTTACTCGCAGTTTACAAATAGTCGACCCAAATATCTTTTTAGCAGAAATAATTATGACAATTACAAAACGAAACTTCAATTTTGTAAGTTCCCGGAGCAAAAACTCCCAAACTCCAAACCAAAGAGAAACCAAAATGTCCGAAAATAATGAAATGAACAAACAAGTTCGGAAGTTGAGTAAAACAAAAACACCCAACACAGTAAAATTATTAATATACAATAACAAGGTCTTAATCAGCCAAATGTCTTCAGCTCTTTCGTAACATTAGTGATGGGGGAGGTCAAGGTCACCATTCCATGTGTGTTTTCGGTGGCATATCTCGAGGGGCCTAAAAAGAGTGTAAGACAAAAAGAGGATCCGTAATTTAACAGCATGTTCTGCCCTGCAGACAGGGGTGGATTAAAGTTATCTCCCCACCATCATATCTGCTGGTCAGTGACGCCACCTTCCCTCCTTTTGTGATATCAGGCTCTCTTACGTTTGTGGTGTGTATAAATATTGCTTTAGTCAAAGCTCCTTAATGGAAAACACTGTCTATACTAGTTCCGTATTCAAGCGTATCAGATGATCAAAGCTTCTGTATTGTGGATTAGATATCTATTTAGTATATCATAATGCTATGAAGATAACTGATGGTAAAAGTTATAAAATACGGATTACATTATATTTGGTTTAGGGATGGTAAGGATAGATAGCGAATCACAGAATATGCAAGATTATTTAGTTGTAAAATTTTCAGAATAGAAATACAAAACATTGAGCGACTCACAAGAATTTAAGACATTATGAGCTACTTATGATCGGCCATTGCTGATTGGCATCCATGACACTTAGGAAGAATAATACAATTTTAACCAATAGAGAGATTCGGAATCTGAAAGTGCGAAGTAGAAGCTTAAGTGCAAAACTAATAAGTAATGAATAACGGAAGACGGTAAACTATATGTCCTATAGTTTGGTTACATTCGTTTTAATGACAATGGGGGTCCGTTATATTCATTATCGGTTTAGATATTAGGCAGTCCATAATTGTGTGCCCCGCTAGTGGGCGGAAGTTCAGGGAATAGTTGATGAAGCGCTTTAGTGTCAAGTAACAGGGTTATTGGTCTGTACAACTTGGTGATATTATCAGTTACAGATAGGTACTGTCAGCCTACTACATAATAAAGTACACCATACTGTAAAAAACTTACAACATATTAGTTTTCGGTGTTTTGCTATAAGCAGTGTACATGCGTTGTTTCTGAGTCTGTATACTGGGTCATGGATCGTGGTTGAGCAGGAGGTTAGAAATGTGAGTCCATATATTGCTTTTTAGAATACAAAGTACCTCAAACGATATAGCCTGTTCTTTACTGTCATATGCTTCTCTGGCACAAACTAACGCTCTAAATAACAAAAGGAGTAGTCAATAAATAAGAGTTAGATAACTGAGAGTCAACAAAAATGTTTCCAACAAGACAGGGTCAAATAACTATTTGAAAGAGCCACAGCAACCTTTCCAATCAGACAGTCAAAGATTAACAGTCATACAGGAAAATGATTATTTCAAAAGCACAAAATATTTCGTATGTATGGTGGCCCTATATCTGGCACAAGTTAAATCATGTGTTGTTTGTTATCGAAATATTCATGCCGCTAATCCTTGCACATTGTTATTGACTTACATCGCGTTAAAGCGATCAAAATGAATTAAGCCAAATGCGGGAATTAATTTTGAATACACACAGTCCATACACTCGTTGATCTGAACAGATGATCAGGTAAACTTAGCAAAGGAAAGAAAGCGAAGCGAGACGAAGTGACCGCAGTGGAGAAGGCAAGTGAGCTAACTCGATTTAACCAAATGTGACTCAGTATATATGGTCAGACCACCAATAAATAGAAGTCGCACGATGAATGCGGCTAGCAATTAACAAACATACGATCACAGAAAAACAGTCGCGGTTAATTAGCCAATAAGTGACATGGTCAAAATGTGGCTTAAGAGAAATAAATAGATTGTCTTGTTCTGAAGCTAGAATAGCATATGTCAACTTGACATGGTGTCAGCCACTTTAAAGCCCCCTATAGAAAATGCCGATAGTAACAAAAACCGGTAACAAAATAAGTTTACAACAAACATCACCATAGAAGAAAAGGTTTTTCTACCAAAAGAGAGCAAGAGGATGGTTAATAAGCAAGCATTCGGTAATTAAGAATCAACAAAAATATTCCAAGACGGGATAAAATATCTCTCTTTAGGGACTCGAGTAATCATTTCCAGCAGGTAGATTTCAACACCCATCAACTGAACCACGCCGTAACCTCGTGTTTAGTAAAACACGATTTTCCTATCTATAACCTGAAAACATACAACAGTAAAGTTATGTGATAAAGACAAATTTTCAACCAGAGTCAAATAATAAGAGTAAAAATAAGGAAAACTTAAGAAAATAAAACGTGGGCAGATCATCAACGTAGATCATCAATGTCGAATGATTAGGGGCCCACTAAAGTTAGACGGGACTGGTATGACCCACAGCCAACCTCGCAGTCTATATCCAACGTCAGCTGCTCCCCCCGTCATATCAAGGATGCTTTGAAGACCGTACAACACAAAAGGCGTTAAAACGGAAATATATTAGTTAAAGTAGGCACAAGTGAAAACGTGACAACCACCGCATGGGCCAGTCCATGACGAATGATGATGACGATATGTTCGGTATTCAGTGACGCAACTGCTGGATGATCTGGCTAGGGCTCAGTGACATTGCACTGGCCCCACACTTAGTTACAACAGATACGAAATTAGTCAAAATTCAAGACAGGAAAAGGGGGGAAATAATTAACTATAATGTCCCATAAAACAATTTTATGGGGTTTTCAGCGTATTGTACCTGTTGCATAAAGCGTCAAGATATTTTCTATCTTCTTCCGGACTACGAGTGTTATGCACAAGACCGAATGCTGGTACGGAAATAGAATGCTCAGGTGCATACTTTTGTTTTTAATCATCATAAAAACTCAGTATTTAAGTATGTGTCGGTATTCAAGTCAGATAGAAATTTATGTTCATAGTCGAATGTAATGCGTTTGGAATATAAATCAGTTGCAGACGATACCGGACTTACCTTTAAAACTTCAAAGTGTAAAGTAGTTCATCTGCGACACATTGCAAACTACAGTTTCAAATTATGAAACTCCTCTCTAGAAGTATCTCGATTCGAAAAAGACTTAGGGTCCTGGTACCCTACGATTTGAAGTCTTACGCTAACTGTGACAAAATTGCCTTGCAAGCAAACCTTGTACTGGTAACATTGAAGTGCATTTTTGGCCAGTTCAACGAAAGAACTTTCCACATAATCTACAACGGTTTTATTCGTTTCCATTTAGAGTACGGGAACATTGAACTTCCTCCCTCACTACAAAAGAATAAGGACGCTCGGAAGCGTATCCAATGGCGAGCCACAAGATCAGTTCGGGGACTCAAATTTAAACCTAGTGAAGAGCGCCTCCAATCACTTAACCTTTACTCATTAGAGTATAGGCGTCTTAGAGGTGACCTTCTAATGGCTTATATTATCCTCAAAACTTCTGGATATACCCTTAAACACCTACTTAAGCTTAGTCCCAATAAAGGGTAACACCCAGGAATTGGAGATACAACATAGCAGAACGGACCGCAAGCACAAATTCTACTTCTTAAGACTTGTCAAATGCTGGAATTCGCTGCCGACTGAGCTAGTCCAAGCAACATGCCAGGAGTAATTTAAGAGGAAACTTGACCTACTCTTAAGGTCTCAAGAAAACATCTTATTATGATTTATCAGTTTTTTCCTCTTATCGTTAATATACCTAGGTTCCTTCCTAGAGGTGTTGGTGATCCACTGCTACTAGACACGGAAGCCCGTTAAGCGAAAGCTTCTTCTATTCCTTCCACAACCACTTGAAACATTTGAATAATGTACAAAGGAATAATTGCTGTATACAAAAATCATAATATCGCAAAGCAATTTTCTCGATCAGTTGTAGAACGGAAATTCTGAAAATAACAATGATATTGATCACTAATCAGTGATTAATATATTGGACATTTCTTGTTTACATCGACAATATTCAACTATAGTGAAATATAGTAGCGTCGAGTTCTGTTTGAATTTGATTATGACCTCTGATTCGAATAAAGAAAATGAGCTGTCTAAGTATATTGTGAGTTTTTCCTCTATTTTATAAGATCATCTAATTGCAGAAAGAATATACACCGGGCATTATCGAGAAAGTAATCCGATTTTCCTAATTATAGTACTTATAGGAAGTCAGCTATGGCAAGCAGTTCTCCGTCACAAAAAGCGAAATCGAACTAGAACCTTTACTGAAACCAAACCCACACCGTTTCGTCCTTTTCCCCATAGAATATCACGATGTCTGGCAATTTTATAAGAAGGCTGTAGCTTCTTTTTGGACTGTGGAAGAGGTGGATTTATCTAAAGATCTCATACATTGGGAGTCGCTCAAGGTTGGGGAACGTCATTTCATATCTTATGTGTTGGCCTTCTTTGCGGCGAGTGACGGAATCGTACTCGAGAACCTCCTAGAACGCTTCAGCCAGGAAGTCCAGATCCCAGAGGTTCGTTGTTTTTATGGAATGCAGATAGCTATCGAGAATATTCACTCTGAAATGTACTCTTTGTTAATTGATACATACATCAAAGACTCCAAAGAAAGGGACTTTCTCTTCAACGCCATAAGCAACTTAACTTGTGTTGCAAAAAAGGCTCAGTGGGCATTAGATTGGATTGGAGATTCTATGTCTACTTTTGCAGAACGTTTAATTGCTTTTGCAGCAGTGGAAGGTGTCTTTTTTTCTGGTAGCTTCGCAGCTATATTCTGGCTTAAGAAACGAGGTCTTATGCCTGGACTGTCTTTTAGCAATGAATTAATCAGTAGAGACGAAGGACTACATTGTGACTTCGCTTGTTTATTGTTTAAACATATTATCAAAAAGCCTTCCAAGGAACGTGTTGAGTCAATTATAAGAGAGGCGGTTCTAATAGAACAGGAGTTTTTATCTGAAGCTCTACCAGTCAGCTTAATTGGAATGAATTGCAAACTGATGTGTCAGTATATTGAATTTATCGCAGACAGGCTACTAGTTGAACTTGGTTATGAAAAGGTTTGTAAGTTTTCTTTTAATCGTTTTCCTTTAGATGTATCATTCTGACAATCCTTTTGACTTTATGGAAAATATATCAATCGAAGGAAAGACTAACTTTTTCGAGAAGCGAGTTGGTGAATATCAACGTGCTGGTGTCATGTCTCGAGCGAGAGGCGAGTCAACCCATAACTTTTCTGTTGATGAAGATTTTTAATGTAACGAACTATATTTTTATACGAAGAGATGCATTTATAATTTGACAATAATAGATCTTGACCAATCTTATCCGTACTTGGTTCTCAGCGTTTCATATTTCGGGCTGTTAACGTTCTGTCAAAGCGACTCCAGTACTCAATTTGTTATGAGGTATTTTTGATGCACTAATCTTTTCGCTCTGTGGTTACTAAATATTGTTTTCGAGTGGTTAACCACATTCCCTGTGCTTTGTGCTACCGAAGTACAGGATTCAGTCTACGCAAAATATTGGTAGTCGTTCGTAACCCTATCACATAGGTCGCATAACCAGATTAGCAACTGGCATAAGATTAGTTGTGATGTGCTGACATTCAAACTGAGAGATGTCAGTACGAGTGGTAATATTAAGCAAGTATAGTTAAAAGTTTCTAGTTCTTGAGCACTGATCAAGTAAGGGTTATAGGTATCTTCTACGCACAATTATTGAAACGTATGGCTGGCGTTGCATATCAAGTCATCACCTCTAAATACTGTGAGGGATTGTCGAATACCAGTGAATAGGAGGTCACTCCAAGTCTGGTACACTTACTTGGTTCTAGTAACTGAAAGTTAACAAATGTAAATGGTGGTAAACAAGCGCTCCAGCAGGGCGATATTGCGTACGAATATTTGATCATAGGCCCCTTCAAAACAGTCAAGGTTATTTGGTGGTATCTGGTTTGATTAGATGATTTTACTCAAGATTACTCCGTGAGGTCGTAGAACATCTTTTCGCGATGCTGAAATTAGATTATTTGAGCATGAAAGATTGGTTGCTTAGTATCTTAGCGTGATTTCAAGGGAATAAGAGGCGCTGCGTTGAGCGAGTTGCCAAAAACCAGTCAAACCTGGATCTGTACTGAGATTACTCCAGATACCAGACCAGGATTGATGAGACTCCCAAATTAAGAGCAGCGGTCGGTGTGTTCAACTACTTCAGTCCCTACCATTCAGGCGACGGCGCAAGGCAATCCTGAATTGACATTTTGGATATGGAAGTAGGGGACCGCATCCCAAACGTGTTTGCATTTTTACTTAAGGTGGTCAGAAGGCTGAATATTGTTAGTGTCTTTAGAAAGAACTATATTATATGCGTATCGTAAGTCAGCAAGTGGATCTCCTGGCAGATAAATTCCTGGAAAGTTGGATGATGAGAGTTGTCTCTAAAAGTATGTCGATGGCAAACTTAAAGAGAAATGAGGTGGATGGAGAACCCTGATGTGCACCACCTAGAAGGACGAACTCTAGTTACAGTTCGCCGTAAGTCCTGACTTAACGAGTAGTGTTTGCGTGGAGAACATACACAAGGTCAGCGTGCTTCTACGGTAACCCTTTCGACGACAGGCAGTGCCACAGAACCTCATTATCAACGGAGTCGAACGCCGCTTAGAAGTCGAGGAATACAGTTTTATTCTTATGTTTCTGTTCCAGAAATTTCCGAAGGGTGAATATTTCGTCTATACATTCACGTCCAGGTTGGAAACCAGGCCGGTTCTTTTTAGCTTACTTTTGACGAGTTCTAGGTAGACGTCGAAGTATTGTTGCTAACATTTTAGACACCTAATTAAACTGGTTGTCGTAAGATTCTTATCTCTCTTATGGACTGAGTCAGATGGTATCAAGTTGTTACCAGATCTTAGCTAATCTAACTGCTTATTGTTGCCGCCCTTTTCATCTCTTCTGCTTTCGCTACCCACTACTTTTCGCAATCACTACATAGGCTTTTTATCAGCCTACGCTTAAGCTCCATCCGCTCCGCATAGTGCTTGGAGCCAGACGGGATGAGTTTCCGAGCACCGCTGATTTTCTCTAACCAGACAAATACGTCCTCAAGCTACAGTATGATCAGAGTCAACGTATGTGCTCCAAAATGAGCTAGTTTCTTATCGAGCTACTCCAACGATGGCTAGTAGCGATGTGATTTATTCAAATCCATCACTGAGTCGATCGTGGGAGCCGCCACGTAAGACGACGTTTCGCCTTATGTTCAAAATCACTGTTTGCTAGAAATAGATGGTTATCTGAGCAAAGCTGCAACAGACGGTCGCCGTTATTATGTCTTAGAACTGATTATAATATGGCCACTTGTATAGTTTTAGTCCGCATTAAAGTGGCGGATAAAAGAAAACTGGAAGTAAAAGTTTCGTTCGTTTCCGTTGTTGGGAAGTATTATGAGGCAGTTTTCAAACTCAAGATGTGTATTGCGAAAAAAAATGAACGCACATGTGTCATTGAAATTGATTTTGAGCAATATCAACTACTGGTTAAGATAACCGCGCAGACACCAACCAAGAAAACTCAGAGCGACAATCAGTGACTCTCTAAATTAGTGTTTCGTTTTCGTTGAGAGCCTCCTTACTTAGTGATGATCCACGCTTTCAGAAGAGGCTGCTTAGAAGGTTGGGTCATAGAATGACACTCAATACACGAAAAAAATTATGATTACACTACTCACTTTTTAATCACAAGTTACACAGCGTTGAAACTGATAAATTTCAAAAAAAAGCTTCCCAAAAAGTTTCCTGTGGATTTATAATTTCTAGAACTTAGACGCATGTCAGTAAACACAATATTCATGACATGACTTTAGAATACCTAAAAATGATACCGAGATACACATCAAGTAAGTTTGAAATTGTCTTCACTTACGTAAATAACTAAGTTTACAGAGACATGTAATTGTAACAAGTAGGATTTTACGCCGTTACTCATTTTAAATGTCTCACTTACGCCGTAAAACAGTGAAATTTAAGCGAACTGCTTGTTTCATAGGTCAACAATATTTAACCACAGACGAGCTAGTTTGTACACAACGCTACTAGTGGAATTACAAAAAAAGATACGCTGCACTGGAAGTAAAATTAAATTGTTGTAAAAATTAATAAATAATACTAGTAAATATAATAGACAAAAAGTCCATTTTATTCACAAAATCATTTTAGTGATAAGCGAGCAATGCAAAATATATAATTTCTTCAAGGGTCTGCAAGAAATCTGACGGTGCATCATATTATAAACGTTTTGCGAAGTGAAACAAAATAGGTCAATTTAGGTTTGTACAACTAATTTTAAAGAAAAATCCTTCAAAGTAAAGTTTAGAAAGAGCAAAAATACATAGATGAGCTTGCGAGTAACCTGTTAACAATGAAAAATAATCAGAATAAATTATTATTGACCAGATGGAGCAACAAGACAATGAGGTTGACAGCTTTCATTGGCGGAGTGCAGCAAGCCTAAAATAAAAATAAATGACGATTTACGAAGAGGTGGTAGCCATGTTATATTTTGAATACACAATCCAATAAAAGTAACTATTATCTCGCAAAAACAAAACTTAACACAACCCATCCGAAAAGACTACCTATATTCAATGAATAGTCTCTAAAAAGATTGAGAAGCACACAAATCACAGTACCTGAAAGTTAATAATAAATCGAAGATTAATGAAGTAAAAAGATTACTTCTTACTTAAATATCAGTCAAATCCAGCTAACTGAATATGAAGAATCGAATATCGTGTTAGGTGAAAATATAAGGTATTAAATACAATATGATTGTTTTACAAATGGAAATTTAAGATTAATGTCTGATGTTAGACTATGGAGATAAAAAGTACTACGTTATTAAGTTACACCCACTACCAGAGAAATCATTATTTAGCTTTACATAATTTTTGGATAAGTGACCCTCCAAATTTTACTGCCATACAATAAAAGTTTGGTTGGGTCTTCTTGTTTTCAATAAAAGTAAATACATGGGTTTTGTCCACAGCGTACATAAAGATGTATATATACTATAAAAATGAAGTTAATACTCAATGTTATTGATTTTACATACAAATGAAGGGCTGAACAAACGTTAAATCTAATCAAACATATAACAAAGTAACTATTTTGATTTTACAAAGAAAAGTACTGATTCCGTGTAACAAATAAAGTGCAAAAAAGTAATGGTTATAATTATTGGAACTAACGAGATATAATTATTTAGTAGAGGTATTTTAACGATTTCGACAAACAAGAATGGATAATGTTTATCACCATGATACTTATTATTCGAATTAACCATACATCACGGCACCACTAAAGAAACGAAAGCAATGTAGTTGCATGTGTGTATGTGGATTTTTATAAAGCAACGACGAAGTTAACACGATATAAGATTTACTGCATATAATCTAATTTTATTCACAACTACAAAGCCAGACAGTATTGTGACAAAGTGTCCTAAATTGAGAATTTGCTATTTAGTGTTGAGCACACAAGCCAAGAACAAATATTTGACTAATACAATGGTGTGCGTAACTACACCAAGCTAATTGTTATTAGTCAACACATAAGTATATATTTATAAGATTGTTGAAGAAATTCTTTCGGCACTTGATAATGTAGTCTGCTAAAGTACAAAACATGTACTTAGTACTATTAAGAAGCAGAAAGTTCACATCTTATGACAACTGAACAATAACAGTGATGAGTTAGAACTTTAAACACCGAGCAAACTATTATTCATTTGGTCAATCTGTGATGTGTATCGGTAATCATTATGATGTGCATTTTCTTTGAAATTTAATATTTGAGTTTTTGTAGAAAAATCAACATACATTTTGATCTGTGCATTTAGGCGATAAATGGATAGAAGCAAGTAACGTAGACTTTGATCCCAATTACCAAGATATTACCAGAATGCTTACATAGAAATGAGCGGGAAAGGATTTTAGTGTAACAAGCTTTAAAACTAAGGATGACAAGTTTGTGTTGTCACGATGTAAATATGGTAACAATGCATCTTACAGAAATTACAGACTACTTATATGAAGCAAAAAAGCCACAAATATGAATCAGTAAGTAACACTGAACTGTAATGTCTTAATTAAGAAAAAATATGATTCAGTTTCATCCATTCACTACTCTAACTTCAGAAAATTTGCACATTATTTTTTGAAGAAGCAACTCAGAAGGCCGAGAAATGTTAGAAAAT